ATTCCGAACGACTTGGCCAGATCTTCACGACCTTTCCTGTCAGATAACCCTTGTCTGTGGAGCATCTTGAAAGAATATATAAGCCAAGAGTATTTTCAATCACTGAAGCAAAGTAAAAGTATCTTCTCATATTAAATCTGTAGGCTTCCCAAATAGAAAATGTTGTACAAAAAAAGGAGATCAAGAAAAAACAAGTTGAATTGACCAAGTGTGCTTTAAAGTGTCCGCTAAGTTTGAAAACCCCTCCTTAGCCCAGCTGAGGACGGGAAGACAGAAGCCAGCTGTGTTCGATTAACACTCATGTTTGAGGTAGGGGAGACCAAAGAGGTCTCAAAGGGGTCCCGGGGCTCTAATGTCAGCAAAGATTGGGAATCTGTTAGAAACACAAATTTCCAGATCTGGGCTAGGGGGTGTGGGAGAGGCGGGCAGCAATCCCTCCAGATGACTCTGACCCCTGACAGTGTGCAAACTGGATGTCAAGGTTAGAAGTCTAGCCTCTGTGGTCAGAGGGTTTGAATACTAGGGCCTATCCCTGGTAAATAGGGTGACTTTGGACAAGTGACTTAATTTGTCTCTTCTTTAATTTCCTCAGCTGTAAAATAAGGAACAGTACTCATCCCTGGCTCACCGGAACACTGGTGGTAAGAGGATACATGCAAAGGTTTGGCAATATGCTTAACACATACTAAGCACTCAATAAGTGTGAGCCATTATGTTCTCTGCTATGGAGATCATCGAAGATTTGCTTTTAGTTCAGTTTACTCAACTGTTGATTTGCTTAGCATTTATTGAGCATTTCCTACAAACCAGACTCAGGGCACTGAGTAACAGAGCATTTTGACCTAGCTACCGCACGTCTCCGTCCTGAGTGCGGATCTCCGATGGGTGGCCCCAAGCTTGGATAAGTTTGAAAAATCTACTCAGGAAGTTTTAGTTTCTTCCAAAGGAAGTAGCAGACCTGTAAACAAGAATTATAGCCCCAAGCCCAAGGAGCAGAAGCTGCATGTATGTACATGATCCCAGAGAAACTTCTGGAAGGGGTGCTTTGCCCAGCAAGCTTTCCTTTGGGCTTATATATTCCTCTCCGGCTTTACTGACCTTCATAGGAAGCACAAATCCTGTTTTTCTCAATCCTCAGGGCTTACCCCCTTTGCCAGACAAAGAGTGGAACAGAAGGAAGTCTGTCAGTGTAACGAGCATGAGTGCTGTTTTTAGGATCGGGCCCTCCCAGCTCCAGGAAGCCTGAGCACCATGTTTCAGGACAGAGGAGTAATTATACAGCCATCGTATCCTCTGTAACCAACTCCTGTAGATGCAGATGTGCGCTTCCCTGCATAAATTGCCCAAGCCCCAAGGCCAGACATAATGGTTTCACACACTGGTTTCCAAGGGGAGGAGCAACAGGGGCAAAGCTTTTAAATTAATTAAAAGAGACACTCAGGCACACTTCATGCCATTCTTTAATCTCCACTCTCCTGTGATAAATATAGAATGACAGGTCCAGGCCCAGGCTAATGAGTAGAAGGCAGGACCCTATGGAGACTCGCCAAGCAGCCCTCGGAAACACGGCAGCAGGGCCCAGGGCTCAGCAAAAGGAAGAAGAAAATCAGCACCTTGCCTCAGCTGGGTCACTGATAGGTCACCAGAATTCTCTGAAGAGTTCCCATTGGACATAGGATCCCCCGCTTCCTTGACTAGCGGCGGTTTAAACAACAGACAAAAGGAAACAGCATGTCTTACATTAAAAGGTCAGAGAGTAATAGCAGTTAAGATTTATTGACGGTTTTCTAGTGTCCAAAGAGGCACTGTGCTAAGGGCTTCTCTTCATTTAACTGTGGTGACCAGCTTCCCAAACAGTCCTCACACCTCCTAGCATATACACCCTCACCACACACTCCCCTCACACACTGAGTCAGAGCTGGCACATGTGACCAATAGAAAATTCCAGAAGAAACAGTCTGTAACTTCTGAGCTTAGATGAAAGAAGATGTCACCACTTCTAACATGATCTCTTGGATCACCAGCCCTGGGGGAAGCCAGAACCACCTCAAGAGGACACTGGGGCTGCCCTGTGGTGAGGCCAATAACTAGGCCACTTGCAAGTGAATCCTCCAGCGGTGGCCAAGCCTTTGAGTCATCCAGCTCAAGCCCCAGACACCCCAGAAAGAGAAGCCATCTCTGCTGGGCCCTGTCTGAGTGCCGGACCCGCAGAACCCACAAGGCAATTGTTTAAAAAACTACATCCTGTGGTTTGTTACACAGCGATAGCTAACCAATACGTAAGCACCAGATACGCTTATTTTATAGTTGAGGCGAGTTAAAGTGATTCACTCATGGACACAGTGGGGGAAGCAATGGGGATCTGCATCCAGGTTGGCGGACTTGAAGTTCTAGTTCTCATTCTGTCCTCTTACTCCCGACAGATAAACCTAAGGTGTGTGATTGATTTCCCATCCCTTTTGTTAAGGGAAAAGCAACTACTTAATAGGAAACTTTTTAACCCTTGAGTTGTTCCAAGAGACTGTGTCCACCTGCCATGGCACCCACCCACTTCCGCCTTGAATTTTAGCCATTTCTCTATGGGTAGATGTTCCTGGAAGGCTGGAACAGAGGGTCTTCCTTCTGATAGTGCTCGTCAGTAGCAGAGCGTGAGGGCAGGAGGCCGTGTCGATCCCACAGACACCGTCCACCTGACTAAAGGTCTGGCAGCTCTGCTCTACCACTCTCAGGCTGCGTGATTTTAGGCAAGTTGTCTAAATTTCAGGAGCTACCGATTCCTCACTCTGAAAACAACCAATATTCATACACATACTTTTGTTCACACTGCACTGCAAACATACTCAAAGTAGGAGCACATCTTTCTGGCACACAGGAAAGGCTCCATAAAAATGTGACCTACTTGAATTATCAAATAGGTGTTGAAAAACACCAAACATTTTAAATGCCCAGGCAAAAGCTCTTCCCTCAACTTTTTCTCATACTTCCAAAGAAAGAGCAATGGTTCTTGGGGGGTGGGTAGAGATTTCACTCTATGGGCTGGTCAGCATGTTATGCCTTGACCATGGTTCCTACCAGATCCCAGTCTGCCCTTCTGGAGTGATGAGAGGGTCAGGGAAAGCTGCCATCCGTGTGAACCATCCAGTGGGACACGTGCAAATGTCCCGTCTGGCTCTTTCTTGCAAGAAGAAATGGAAGGTGAGGACGGTCTGCCTCTCCCTGGCCTGATGAACAGAAGTGGACAGGGACTTCGTTTCCATCCTGCCTCTTAATCCCACTGCACTCTTATCATTTTGTCAGCCTGGACAACAGGCATTCTAATGCCTTCCCATGTGGCACACCCTTCCTTGGTGCTGGAGCTAACGAGCTGTCAAGTGTCTACTGTCCCCTCAGGTGATTTCTACTCAAAGGCTATTTGGAGTCCCACCTCCCTTTGAACTTAGTTTTAGGGAACTCTCTCTCTTTCCCTCCTCTCTTTTTTTCTGTTGTGTCTGAAAGAGTCTTCTATGTAAAATTCTCTTTGGGTCCCAAACGCTGCCACAACCCTCCACTTCTAGGTAAGAGTGAGAAAAGGGAAACGGGGAGAAACCGACCACTTTCACAACTATCTCACATTAAGCGCAAATTCCTGGCATTGCCAGGTGCTGGGTCAGGTTCTCTGGGGGAGAGGAGACCCCAGCCCTCACCCAGTGTAACAGAGGAGTATGATTAAAATGTTGACAGCTAGGAAACAAAGAGCCAAGGGAAGGATGCCATGTGTAGCAGAGACAGAAGGCCCAGGACAGCCGAGGAAGGAAAGAGCGGACAGGGGAGGACAACGGAAACTGGAAGCCGTGGGCCTTGGGTGTGTGTCCTGAAGAATGGGCCAGTGGCCCCTAAGGTGGTGGGGAAGGGCAGAAAGAGACCCCCAGGCAGACGGAATGAAAAGGGTGAAGGCAGGAAAGCATAAGACAGGTTCACACAATGCCACGGATTTAAAGGGAAGGAGAGGCGGGACTGCAAAAAGTAAAATACATGAGGGTTTGAAACCCCTGGCAATAATGAGCAATCAAGACTTCCACAAAAGGGGCGCCTGGGTGGCTCAGTGGGTTAAAGCCTCTGCCTTCCGCTCAGGTCATGGTCCCAGGGTCCTGGGATCGAGGCCCGCATCGGGCTCTCTGCTCAGCGGGGAGCCTGCTTCCTCCTCTCTGACTGTCTCTCTGCCTACTTGTGATCTCTCTCTCTGTCAAATAAATAAATAAAATCTTTAAAAAAAAAAAAAAAAAAAGACTTCCACAAAAGATAAAGGTATCTTTGTAGATTACAGTGCAAACTGGAGACATGGGGATTTCATGAAGAAGTAACATAATTCTCAGTGATCGTGACCATAAAACCCTGAGACTAAAGATGTAGGTCTTCAAAGGAGGCAAGGTCGAGTGGACAGGCGGACTGCTCTTCCCCACACTTAGGGACATTCCCCTCACTGACAGTTTTTGCTTGAACCACTGAACACTCCCTTTCCAACTCATTTTATCCTTAGTTTAAAATATTATTCTCCCTAGCTTTTATCAATGATTATCTCCAGTGGGCAGGCACCTATCAGATGACCTAAGTCAGGAATCTGCTACTTACAGGCAAGGTCATTTCAATAAATCCAAGGAGCCAGTATCCACTACCCAGCCTGGTTTCAAGGCAGAGAAAACGGGTATCAGAGAGGAACAGGATTGTTGGTAGGTCTAAGGGTATCTGTCTGCACCTCAGTGTATCCTTCTATCCCCTGGCTCAGATTTAGAAAGCCACACAGAGTAAGCTCTCTAACAGAAGTTCTGTAAGTCCCAAATCCCTTCTCTTCCTTCTTAGAACCAAAGAGCTAAGTTCTAAAAAGATCCAGAAAACAGCACGAGCCATCAAGCAATCTCCCATGGCGGGTCTGGAAACAGGAAAATGTCCCCTCGAACTGCTTCTGTGTCCTCCCAGATCCCAAAGACGTCCCCTGCACAACACCGCCGCAGGCCAGGCCTCACCATATACCACATGCTCGGCCACTTGGGATCGTTGAAGTAAGTAGGCTGGGCACGACTGAAGTCATAATCCCTCTTTGTCCGTTTTTTTACCACTTGCTGTTGGATCCACTCCACCTGCCAAGAAGAAGGACATGTGGTGAGTGTTCAAGTTCCACCAGGGTTAGCACAACACAAATGACAGTCGGGGGCAGGTCCCCTCTTAAGCCAAAGCTGTTCAAGTCACAGACTTCGGGCCGGCAGCTAGATGCTCAGTCTAGGGGCTCCGAGTCTCCGGAGACCTCGTTCGCCTTTATTCTCAACGCAGGTCGACTTTCAAGTCTTTAATGACAGGTCATCCCTATTTCTCAACAACATGCTAACTTTTTAGCTTCTTCAGAAAGTGTATTTTATTCAAAATTTGTTGCAAATTGATCATGTTAATTTTTTTAAAAGATTTTATTTATTTATTTTACAGACAAAGATCATAAGTAGGCAGAGAGAGAGGAAGGGAAACACGCTCCCTGCTGAGCAGAGACCCCCGATGTGGGGCTCGATCCCAGGACCCTGGGATCATGACCTGAGCCAAGGCAGAGGCTTTAACCCACTGAGCCACCCAGGCACCCGATCATGTTAATTTTTATACTAATTTTTTTTTTTTTTGCCCTTATCTTCTATGAAGGATCAACATACTCTTTCTAGAAAGGTCCCGGTCAGAAATGCTTTAGGCTTTGCAGGTCATAGGATCTCTGCTGTAACTACTCTTCCTGCTGTCCTACACCACAGACGCACATAAATGAACAGGTGGGATGATGTTCCAGTAAGTTTACTTAGAGAAGCAAAGGACAGGATGGATGTGGCCCATGGGCCACAGTTTATGACCTTTGCCTTATACTACACCCACATTTTTTTTTTAAGTCTTATTTATCGGTTTGGTATATGTCTTTTTTTTTTTTTTTAAGATTTTCATTTATTTATTTGACAGACAGAGATCACAAGTAGGCAGAGAGGCAGGCAGAGAGAGAGGAGGAGGCAGGCTCCCCGTTGAGTGGAGAGCCCGATGTGGGGCTCGATCCCAGGACCCTGAGATCATGACCCGAGCCGAAGGCAGAGGCTTTAACCCACTGAGCCACCCAGGTGCCCCATCACATTTTTTTTTTTATTTTAATGTTCTGGGATTACACAGTAAATTTTAAACCTATCCTGGGATCAAATGCTCTAGGATCACTTTTTTTGTTTGTTTTTTTAAAGAAATGGCTTTCTACAGCACGGTGTGGTGGAAACAGCAATATTTGGGGAATTAGACAACCAAAGCCCCAAAGCGTCTATGGCACAAAATTAGAGAAATCACTCAATTGCCTGAGCCAAAGGCTCCATGCCAGCTCAAATTCAAACCTACCACCCTTGAGCAACTCAGAATATTTAGCCACAAATTTGGCTGAAGCAAAGCAATTGAGCACTTCTGAGTTTAATACCGAATTGTAACCTAAATGTTAGGGCTACGTATGGGGGCGCTTATTTAAAAACAGATCATTACTATGTCAACATAAAACTAAGCATGTTCTTTTTTTTTTTTTTTTTTTTTGGTTAAGATTTTATTTATTTGTCAGAAAGAGAGAGGAAAGAACACGAGCAGGGGGAGCGGCAGGCAGAGGGAGAGGGAGAAGCAGGCCCCTCTACCCCCGCTGAGCAAGGAGCCTGATGCGGGACTTGATCCCAGGACCCTGGGATCACGACCTGAGACAAAGGCAGAGGCTTAACTGACTGAGCCATCCAGGCGCCCCAAGCATGTTCTATTTTGACTAGTGCCTCTGAAATGACCTATCGGCCCTGGTAGCCTTCTACAATTTCTTTCTAAGTTCTCCTGTGTTCGATCGCTCCTGCCATTTTAGCCACAATACTCTAAAATGTTCTGTTCTACCATTGATCCCTCCTCCACACAAAGGGATTAAAAATTGAGGGCAGGGAGATTTTGTAGTGCACTAGTGATTCCACATCCATCCATTGAGTAAAAGTCTCCAAACCACTTTTGCCCACTTGATTCAAGATCGCTGGAGGAGAAGGGCTCCTAAGGCACTGATTAACAGGCTTGAAATGCACTGCTCGACACAAGGTACTAAGGCCAAAAGCCAAGCTAATAAATTCCTCAGATTCTCATATCGGGAAATATATTCACCGAGACTTCTGATATGCAAGACGAATTTAAGTAGCCAATTCCTAGTTATAGCACTAACAAAGCAAATGGAATCACATGGCCTCCTAAATAAATAAAAAATCCATTTATGATTAGGATCGCAGCTAAGCATCATCTATGTGCCTTCCGCAACAGGTAATTGAGGCAACATTATCAGGACAGCAAAAAAGCCAATAAATGAAAAATAATATTCTAGAAAATGAAAGCTGCTTCTGCTCCTGTTTTAATTAATGTGAATTAAGTGACTCCCTAGCACTGAACCATTCTCCACACCACCACCCCCAACACACACACCTGTGCACACCAGGGAGAAGGGATTGTGTATCTTTCTTTGAACCACTGGACCACGGTTTTCAGGGAAGCAAAAAAGGATCTTGTTTTTTTCTTGGACTCGAGAGGCTGCTCTTTAGAAATCACATCGAGACTAATGTGGCATTAACAATGCGTGTAAAATTTTTTCTCAATAAAGAGGGTAATATTTAAGTGACCAGGCTTCTAAAAATACAGGTGAAAAAAATCAATTTCTTTCTCAACATGGAGCGGCACGCACGGGCATGCATGCACTTTTTCTATTTCCAGGAAACATTTTAATCTCTTCCTTTCAAATAATCTTGCTATGGAAGGAGTTTCATTTGCCCACTTACTCATTCAATGAGCATTAAGTGTCTATTCAGCACCGACACTGTGCTGGTAATATGAAGACGAACAAAAACAGTCTTCGGCTTTGAAGAACTTAACATTTTACCAAGAAAGATTTAGCGAACATTCCTGGGGCGCCTGGGTGGCTCAGTGGGTTAAGCCTCTGCCTTCAGCTCGAGTCAGGATCTCAGGGTCCTGGGATCAAGGCCCACATTGGGCTCTCTGCTCAGCGTGGAGCCTGCTTCCCCCTCTCTCTCTGCCTGCCTCTCTGCCGACTTGTGATCTGTCTGTCAAATTAAATAAATAAAAAAAAAAAAAAAAAAAAAAGATTTCGTGAATATTCCACAATTCTCCACTTCGTAAAAATGTAGTTATCATCATGAATGATGCCCATCGCTCTATTAATTAGAGCATTTGTGAAAATTTTGAGCAGGCGTATTCTACGGGCAATCATTATGTTGCCGTCTGAGGCGTCTCCCAGTTGAGATTCAACTTGTACATGTTTGCGCGCGTGGTAAAAGAAGGCTGCAGATCTGTGTAGATGGAACGCTTTCCAAACTACTCCTACATTGGCAGTGGCTCTTCCTAACAGAGCCTCCATAAATTCTGAATCGCCACCTAGATGTGCACCTAAACCAGAAAGTGTCAAATCCCGGGGTGTCATCTCAAACAGAGTGCTGGAGAGCAGAACCAGTCTACGCTGGGGTGGGGGGTAGGGGTGCGTCTTGTTGTGTATCATTGTTTCGGCAACAACCCTGGAAGTCGGTGCCTCCCAGAAGCACACACGTACACACAGACAAATGTGGGATAAGTATGTGAGAAAACCAAGTGACAGCCATTTTCCGAGATGAACTGCAGGTTCAAAAATAGAACAAAATATCTTACAGAACAGCATCCCTTCTGTAATTTAACCAAACAAAAGTGCTTAGTTACAGGCTTGGTGGCTGGAAGGTGGCACGCACGTTGGCATCTAGATCTGACTACAAGTCACTCTGTCTGATCACAGGGCTGAAATAGTCAAGAAAAGTACAGTGTTTTTTGTTGTTGTTTTGTTTTGTTTTTTTTTAGTGTCAGATATCATGTATTTTGTCTTGGTGCTTTATGAGTGTAAGTATATGGCCCTACATATTTTGGAAAATGGGAAAAACACCTCTTGGATCGGAAGATTTCTATGAGTGGAAAGACTAGTTTTATATTTTTAAGCCATTATCCATATGCCTGTCCTTGAGCCCTTTAAGAAAAAGCTCAGAGGTAATGCATTACACAGATTTCGCTTTTTGCCAAGAGGCCCCAATGCATAGAAAAGATGCTTAGAAATTCATTTTCATAAAACTAGGGCCAGCCCAGGAAAATATGAAAACTGTGTGCTTCCCCCCACTGGTTTAACTTCGGAAGGTTCTATTTCTTGTATATGAAGAAACTACAGATAATCCAGACCATAAAAACCACAGGACCTCTGAAGTCATCAGTGTATCCTCCACGAACTTCAACATAGGTGCACTCCATGGTTTTAAGTACACTCCCTCTCTCTACCAATACAGCTCTCCTCCCCATATGACCCAAGTGAACAGGGGGCATCCACCTCACCAGAATCTTTGTCGAAAGGGGTTCTCTTTCATCAGATTTCACGTGTCAAGCAAAGCACATTAAGTGATCATTCTGGGAAACCTACCCTCCCCTCAAACATCTCAGTTGAGCTTCTATCCCATTCTTTTGCAACTTAACAACTTTCTGAAATAGGATAAAAAAGAAGTTCTAGGAATACAGATTATGGAAGTTATTATATAAATATACTTGGAAAACAAATTGTGATAGCACAAAAAAAGACAAATACTGCATGTCATCACTTACATGCAGACTCTTAAAAAAAAAAGCCAGACTTGTAGAAAGAGTAAGAAAGGGATTTGCCAGAGGTTGAGGGGTGGGAGAAACAGGAGCAGGTTGGTAAAAGGGTATAAACATTCAACAGGAAGGAGAGTCGTGTCTCAGGATCTAGTGTATGACTGAAGATTGAATAGAATGGTGATGACAGTTGGTAACACTGGGTCCTATAATTGAAATCTGCTAAGGAAGTAGAACCTAAATGTTCTCACCAAATTAAAAAAAAAAAAATTAGTATATGTCTATATACACACACATATACACAAACACACACACACATATGGTGATAAACGTCAATTAACTAGATGGAGGAAATCCTTATATTTTATACATATAAATATATATATTTATTTATATACATATATGATCATATATATATAATCACTACAATATACACTTTAAATACCTTACATTTTCTATGTTG